AGCCTGTTTTTACTGCAGCATGTTTGAAATTATGCTCTCCTTCCTGCAGGAGAAGGAGATCCTGTACTAATACTTTTCTCTCATCCAGGATGTCCCAGCCCTGCCAATCACTACTACCTTTTGGGAGAGAAACTTGCCGTCTATACCAGGACTGCTGAGGCTGGTTGGATTATCTACATTCTTCACATCAGTGGCTGCTCTTGGGCTGTTCACGTACAAGAAGGGGCTTCTAGTTCGAAACTGAGGGAGGTGCCAGCTGAATGTTGCACTTCTGCTGTTTGTCTCTTTCCAAAGTTGTTCCTGAAATATACTTAATTGGGCGCGTCTACGTGTGCATTTAAGCACAACTAAATTTAATGTGCATTACGGGCTCCTATACACATGTGGGGAACCTGTTCTGATGTGCTGGAAATCAAGTCTGCTCAGGCACAGAAATTGACATGCTCTGGCAGTATTCCATGTCACGTATTTCAGCGTCCCTGTATATATCCCTGCACTGAAAAAATTGTGGCAGGACGCTTTTAAATAAAACATGTTTGAGCTGTAGTTCAGATTGCCCTGTCACCATTTTTTCAATGCAGGGATGCACAAGGACACTGATACATGTGACGCACGGGCACTTTTAATCAGCATGCCTTGCTAATTAAAGCTCCTGGTGCCGCATCCCACAGAACATGTAAAAATGCCCTAAACAATTTTTGGCAGGTGCCTACACATGCAGGCATTTGGCACTAAAATTAGTGCACTTGGCACAGGTAGTTCCAAGTCCCTGCAACCCTCCGTGCCTTTAGTGGCTGGGTAGACCCGGCACTAAAGTTAGTGCCCGGTCACATTTACACATGCGTTAGTGCCCCTTAACTAATCATGCCTAAATTTGATGCCTATATTTGCAGATATCAAATTTAAGTGTGATTAGCCTAACGTCACCATGTTTAATGTGCATTAAGGCTATGCATGTGTAGACACATGCCTGGAATGCACACTAAATTAAACTAATGTGCATTAACGCGTTTCACGTAGAGACGCCCCTGTCTACAAATTCTAATTGGGACTGGTAAAGGGCGGCGAAGAAGGGGCAAACAGAGCTGGAATGCTAGAGAGGGGCAGGTGAAACCAGGGACTCAGAAAAAACAAGAATCCCTGGAATATTGATCTATTATTTTGGCACTTTATTTTTATGATGCTCTAGAGTCTAAGAAATTCTGCTGGGTGTTACTTCCCATTAATTTTTATGTCTAGAAAAAGAAGTGGCAAACTACCACAAGTACCTGTCCTCACAAGATTTTCTAGGTTTTTGTACATTTGTATCAGCCATACCTGAACTCTGAACCTTTAGAGGCATATGCATTGCTAGGTATGAAGGGAGTATTTCTGCTCTTACATTCCTGATATTAAAAACCTGTAGATAATGATGATGATTTTTGAGTAAATGGAAATTGCAGGTAAGATTCTGTGAATGGATTTTCCCCCAGAATGTCTTCAGTCCTTACAAAAAAAGAAAAGAAAAAATATGGCTGAATTTTGAAAGTCTTGTCCAAATTGTGGATCCCAACTATGCAAATGTTCACATTGTTTGTTAGAATTGTGTTTATCCACTTTCCATTTTCAGTAACATATTATGGGGCTGGAGCCTTGCTTCCTCTCTGGACTCTTTAGTACAGGTGTGAAAAGGGGGATAAAATGATGGCTTACAATGCCTCCAGGAGGTTCTCTCAGGCTTGCAATTCTATACCACTTGCATCCTCTCTTGGTTCCCTGAGGCTGCTGGCAGGAGGTGCAGGTGCCAAATAAGCCCTTATCTGCCTCAGAGAGCCATACAGTTGGCCATGAAGTCCTGTCTTTTCTCCATTTTTCTTGTTTCTTAGACTGTAAGCTCTTTGGGGCAGAGACTGTCTCTTGCCATGTATTTGTAGAGCACAATAGGATCTAAATCTAGTTTTTGGTCTTAGAATAAATGATAGCTTTACCAATCTGACAGCATTTGTCAGGTTTCAAGCACAGGTTAGCTGGTCCACAACTAATGTTTGCAATTATTCACAACAATCACCTTTACCTTTTTTCTTATGTTCAGAAGACTACAATAGAAAAGTGTGACTAAATTTGCATTTCTTGGGTTACCTGGAATCCTCTTCCATTTTAAGGATGATTTTTCTTGTGATATATGAAAAAACAGAACAAAACAAAAATCTCCCCCTCAATTTTACTTGTAGGTTTATATCAGTCTAAAAGGAATGTTTCTATATACACTATTATTAAAATATTCCCTATCGCAGTTATTGTCATACTCCATCTCATACTCCTCAAAATCTTGTTGCTGTGTTGTGTTTTAGAGGAAAGGTAATTTTTGTTCTGCCTCTTTTCTTATATAAATTCATGAAAAAAAGGAAACTTACCATTTTACTTTACTAGTATTATACTTTACTATTTTTCATAAAACTGAGCAAGGTAAGGAAATGGTTTGAAAAAATTTTGAATCCTTTTAAAGCTTTGTTTTATTAATAAGTGCCTGATTTGTGCTTGCATTAAAAGCTCAGGACATTCAATGTGAGTGATGGCAACATAGTGTTTATGGCAGCATAGTTATCTTGCTGTTCCTCAGTTATTTGCTAGACTGTGGTTGCTTTATAGAAGAAAGTTTTTGTTTCCTTAGTCAGAGCAGGCAACCTATGCTAGTTGGGCAGCTGTGCTCTGGCAATATCCTGTGTCAAGTTTTCAAGTCTTTGACTTCCTATGCTTCAGTCTGCTAAAATTAACTATACATCCTTTTACCACAACTCTGCTCTTATGTTCTGTGTACCTTTAATAATTATGTTACTAATAACTGGGCAGTCTTACAGTGGGAATTTTTTAAGTCCCCATGGTCAAATTCCCTGTCAGTGTAAATTGTCACAGCAAAGCTGTCATGACGGTAAGTGAAACACTGAACTACCAAAACAATTACAATATTCTCAATTGCCCTTTTCTATGCAAATTTCACTCAGGCTTTCTGACATTAGAGCGCTTAATACACAGCTACCATTTCATGGAACACTAAATGCCACATTCCAGCTGTGCTCCAAGACGTTACTGATAATCTTTTACACTGCTTGGCCTGCAGCTTTATGAGGATACTTTATAAATGATTAAGCACAAGATTATTACCTGCTTTATGTTCTCACACAAGAGAATTAAAGGATATTAAAAATGTCCTGTCTGCGTAACTCACTTCACAGCTCAAAAAGCAGGGGAGAACAGCCTTTGCAGTTTGTTCCATGCGGCTGAGCAGCTGGGGAAGAATTAAGGCTACTTTAAGCCCCCTACTACTCCATTCCTACCCCCCTCCAGCAATCAATGGAATTGAGTTAGTATGTTGTGGGAAATAATCTCTCTGGTAAAGGTCAGGGTTTCAGCCCAGGAGCAAGAGAAGAACTGGAGACTTAATTGCAGGTTTCAAAGTCTAAAACAGTGTCACTACACACTGCCTGTTGCGGAGGGCAGACAGACATATGACAAGCTGTTCCTGTAAGATCAGTTCCAAGTCTATTTCTGGTGGGAGAGGCTTAAATGAGTTAATTTTTTTTCTTTGATTCACAGGTCCTTACATTCTTAAATCAAACCGCCAAAATCTAGATTAGAAGGATGGCTCTTGAAAACAGTTTAACTGCAAAAGGATTAATCACTCTGCTTTGCTAGGAGCAACAAGCACTCCCACAGATGTCTGCAGTTAGAAATGCTGTGCTGTACAAGCCTGAGAGCAAGCTGTTGGCAATAAATTAAGGGTCTGAATCTTGGAGAAATCAAGTGGAGCCCTGGATAGCGTAGTAACATATGGGTGTTCCTGGCCTTCCTGGTTTTCTGTCTTTTGAAGCAGTGTAGTCAAGGATTAGAAATGAATACTTTTCTATAATCGCAGTACACAGCACCAAATACTTCTGTCTGTCTACATCTGTACAATAGGAAGTCAGAGATAAAACACCAACATTTGATTCCACCAGAAATAGACTGAGAACTGATTTCACAGGAATAGCTTGTCATACGGCCCTTGAATTTCATTTTGCATCTTCAAATTCAATTTACCAGACAAGGTGTCTTGAAGATGCAGCTTGGATTTTATCATTAGAACTTTTAAACTAAACATGGAAACTTTTCAGGTATGAAGACTTTATGAAGTCAGAAGATCTAGGAACTGTACAGCAGACATGGCCTTCCTCACTGTCTCTCTGTAGTGATGTGCTATAGTGCCATAGCATCCATTGGCAAAAACTCTTGATGCTGCCGCTACATCACTGTAGCAATGTGCTTCTTCATTATAGCTCATTGCTATGGTGACGTAACAGCCAAAAATAACTGCATGGCGCAGTATGGGCTGTTACTGTGCCATCATTTAGTACTTCCAAAAGTACCAAAAGGAAGTACTAAATGATGGAGCAGTAACAAAGGCACCTTACGGCCATGTGTAGACATGCCTACAGAGAAGCAATTGACAAGGGTACCTGACAAATCTCTTATGTTTTAAGGTGATTAGTATCCAACATCAACCTTTCAGTAATTCTTAAACATATAATCATACGTCTATCTTTTCCCCACCTGAAAGGTGGCAGTCCTCATCAAGCTCACAGGAAGATCAGTGGATGATTTCGCCCCCCCCAAAAAAAACAACCCAACAAAAAACAGGTAGTACTCATAGGGCTAGCTGAGGAATGTGACCTGTGAAGATGCAACAAACAAGAGGAAATTGTATGATTAAATTAGATGCTCTTCCTTGCTATACATTCTAAATGCAGGTAAAATGCTGATATATTTCCTAACAAGAGGCCAAATACCGTATACTGGGTCAGCATTTTTGCAAGTAAGACCAGTTATACAGGTGGCTCAATCTAAGACTCAAAGGAATCTAAATTTAGACACTAATTTTTTTTTAAATCCTGGTCCAATACTTAAAAGTACAGGAAAACCTCGGTACTTGCGGGTTCAGCATTCATGGTTTCAGATATTCGCAAATGCCAAACCTGCATTTTAAATACACTTTAAACACTTGGGAGCTCCTTGGGAGCTCTGCGCTTCCTGCTGCCAGGCTCCCGCCATCGCCGTTCCCCACCCTCCCAGCTGCCAGGGGCGCTGCGTTCATGAACACAGTGTCCTGTTCACGGATTTTGCCATTCACAGGGATCACAGGAACATATCCCCTGTGAATGGCGAGGTTCACCTGTATTAGTAAGTGGAAAGACACTTTACACACAGAATTTCTACATTGTTTGAATAATTTCTTTGTCAAAGGCATCTAGGATATAAGTGCAGGTTCTGTTCTAAAACACTTGGAAGGTTTCATAGTTTCATAGTAGCTACGGTCAGGAGGGACCTGAACAGATCATCTAGCCTGACCCCCTGCCAGAGGCAGATATGAATGCTGGGTTCACAAGACCCCAGACAGGTGGTCATCCAACCTCCTCTTGAATTTGCCCAAGATAGGGGCAACTTCCCTGAGAAGTTGGTTCCAGATTTTGGCCACCCTAACTGTAAAAAATTGCCTTCTGATCTCTAACCTAAACCTATTCTCCATCAGCTTATTACCATTGTTCCTCATCACCCCAGGTGGTGCTGGGGAGAAAAGGGCTCTACCTATTTGCTGCTGGTCTCCCCTGATGAGTTTGTAGGCAGCCACCAGGTCCCCCCTCAGCCTCCTCTCACGAGGCTGAACAGGTTCAGGTCCCTCAGTCTCTCCTCATAGGGCCTGTCCTGTGGCCCTCTCACCAAGCGGGTGGCCCTCCTCTGAACCCTCTCCAGGCTGGCCACATCCCTCTTGAAGTGCGGTGCCCAGAACTGGACGCAGTACTCCAACTGCGGCCTGACCAAAGTCGCATAGAGGGGGAGTATCACCTCTCTGGACCAGCTTGAGATGCATCTTTGGATGCATGTCAAGGTACAGCTGGCCTTGCTGGCTGTGGTCGGGCATGGGCGGCTCATGTTCATCTTGGAGTCAATAATGAGGCTGAGGAAGGGAGAGTGAGGCTGAGAGGCACAAATAGCTTTTATTCTTATCTAAAATGTAACTTTTTTTTTCTTCTGCATCTACTTAGACCAGTATGTGCTATGGGTAGAGGGTCAAGAACTAATTTAGTTAAAATCAGAAATGGCCTCAGTCATCACTAATACTCAAACCTGTTTTCACATTGTTAATGTTTGAATTATTTTTCTCTTTCCTGAACTTTGTGGTTCCAGGGGTGAATAGGAATGGAAATACCACAAGAAAAGCAGTTCTAATTATCTTTCTAACCCAACCAAATGCAAGATACACTTGAAATCTCATGGTAAAACTGCATCATTAGGTTTCCAGCCCAGTTTTACAAGCTTAAGGGGTTTGTAATAGAATGTTAAAACGAGCAGACAAAGTTCTGGGATGCTGTTTCACTGAGACCTCATACGCTTTTGAAACTTACTCATTGTCTCTACAGCTACTTTTTGCTAGAAATGTAATTTGCATCCTTGGGCCACTATGTGATTAAGGTGGCTAGTTGACCAATTGGTTGTTAACTTTTTCATCACTAAAAGGATATGTGCTGTTTTGTACATATGTGTGTATGTATGCTGCAGTATTTTAAAGAAAAATCTGTTGGATGTAGTCCTAGAATACATCTCTTCCTTTGCATGAATGGAAGGAACTGTTAGCACTAAAGTACCACTTTACACTCATTCCAACTGACTGTTAAAGGAAAGAAATGTGAGAATCAGGTTTGTTTTTCACTTTAAGCTAGCAGAAGTGTTCTTAACTCATTAACATGTCTGATGAGAAATCTGGCAGTCAACTGACTGACTAAGAAAACCATCTGACAAAATTCTCTAGAGACATCATTTCATTTAGTAATCTCTTATGGACTAATTAATATTTTCATGTATACTTCAAAATCTTAGGGTGTTAAAAGGCTGTGTACTTGTTCATATACTGTATCAATAACTATTGCATTACTGCAGCTTCGGCATGTGGTATGAAAATCTGTGTGCGTGTCAACTTGATAATATGACACTGATGATATTAAAAGCTAATTATAAATGCCACTCAACTGTATGGTAGAATGAATAGCCCGAGACCACTCAAGATGTCTATTCTTTAACTGGTTAATTTCTTCTCAACTCAGAACCCAATTTCAGAGTGCATATCTGTTTTGGATAGTACCTAGGCATATTAGATACTTAAGGGATTTCCTGTATTGGGTTCCAGAAGCTGGAGGAATTTTGTTTAAACTAATGATAGTATTTCCCTAAACCACCAGGATGACACTTTCACATAGGCAGGACTTAAAAGTGTCCACATTCAGGAAGATGGGGAAAAAAATGTATTTCCAAGGAAGAAAGAACCATACATCCCAACAAACCCCTTTTGCTCCCAAGGAAGCTGGAACAAAATTACTGAAGAATTTATCCCCCTAGATGAGAATATCAGCTCAGTTCAAATGTAGATTGCACTACTTACAAAATAAATCTTGTCCTTGATTATACAGAGTAGCATTCCCTCTTGCATTTCTACTTGGAGACTGTCTCGATTTTGCAGCCCTCTCTCTAATGAAAATATAAATGAAATGGCCAAAGTAGTCTTGTTTTCAGAGTGTTTGTACAGTAGAACAATTTACATATTGTCAGAGACTCCAGCTTATAATTTGATTTCTGTGATCCTGTGCAGGTCAATGCTAGTGGTGTCTGCCTCTGAGTATTGTGAGGGGGTGGGGAAGTGACTTCAAATCACAGGAATATATATTCTCTATATGTGATGAATTTGTGCCTTTAACTAGTGTTTTCTCAAGTGCCTCTGTGGTTTCTGTATCAGTTGGTTCCTTCTTCAGTCCCCTTTTCAGTAGGCTCTTCAGATATTTTTATCTGTCAGCTGTGAACGTTTTTTAAAACAAACTCGAATCAGTAAATATTGTCTCCTTGCATCTCTTTGTGCGTGTGTTCCTTTATGAATCCAGGACTCTGCTTTTGATCTGTGTATTTGGTGGTAACACAATGTTCAGATTCATGCCTCTGAGAACCTTTGACCTGTCTAGAATAATGCAGCGCTGTAAAGGATGGAGGAAGACCCAAGGGGAGATCTGTTTTGGAAAAAGAAGTGACATAACTTCCAGCATTTGAAAAATTCAAAGGAGTATTTCAAATTATTTTTGAGGCTTTTTTAAATTTGGGCTCCATTTTGTATAAAGTCAAGGCAGACCCTGCTCCAAAGAGTCTAACAAACAAGACCCCTGGAGGGCACCAAGGCAGACACTGCAGGGTAAAGGTGTAATGTTGTGCTACCAAACAGCTCCAGTGTCAAGGCTGGCTCAGATACCCTGAGTTCCATCATGAATTAACGGACCAGATACTTTCCATCTGTTTTTAGAGTCATGGGGACCACATTGGATGTGTGGGGCTCCAAATAGGAACGTTAGGTGCAGGAAGGTTGCTCTGATGCACTGTGATTACAGTGCATCAGAGCAGACTTCATTAATCTCTGCCACCATTTTGAAGCATGGGGACACTTATACCTGAAACACTCCAGGAGCTTTAATTAAAACATCCCCCCCAGCACTCCCGGAGTATGTATAAACACCCATTGGTTTTGCGTACCTACAAAGAATAATATTGGAAATGCCATATCATAGTGTGAGAAAATGTGCAAAATATACGCAGTACACTTTGTGCATACATACATCACAATATTTCGTAAAAGTTAAAATAAACACACATCACAAATGTGGATGTCTTCAACTGATTTAACATGGCATAGAAAATGCAAGCCTGCTAGTAACAGAGCAGAGATCAATGCATTCCATACAACCCCCTAATACTAATTAAAAAAATGGTTAGGACTTAATTCCTACAGTCTTGGGCTGGATATGAAACAGATTTTTAATCCAGTACCAGTCCCCCCTGAGCCCTCCCATCCCATTTTCGTAGCATTTTAAAATGCTTAAATATTTTGTTTATATTATAACATGATATTGCTATATATTCTTCATTATTTTAATAGTTCTATGATTTGTAGTGTAAGAAAAATCAACAGAAACATAATTTAGTAGAACCTTATTCCTTAATACATTCCAAGAAGAATAAATAACTCATTAATGTTGTTTCCTGAGAAACTGATTAAAGAGGCTAGGCATAGTTGACATGTAGATAAAACATCTGTCTGCTTTGTAAACTATTCTGGTAAAGGCAGCCAAAAACCTATTCTGAGTATGAGAATGAAGGCCACTTTTCCCATGTTTCATCATAATTATACTAAGTTTCCCAATATTGGTCCTTTGATGTCAATTCTTGAAACTTTTAAAATTAGTGCATGTGATAGGCCCTGGATGCAGTCTGGGTACACCCTTGAGACACGCTTGAGGTGCTTCCGCACTTTGAGGTGCCCTTCTGCCCTAAACCCTTCTCTGTTACTTGCTGCTTGATCACTGAGAACCAGCTGAGGTGCATTAGAAGCATCTTCTTAGCCTGCAATGCCTCAAGCACTGTCTTGCTCAGCCCTTGCCAGCACTTGGCAAAAGTGATTTTGCCAGCTAGAAGGATCACGCCCTTGTTCAGTCATGCACTCGGAAAAAGATAATCAAAATACTCTGGAATCATAAGCATCTCTGACACCAGTGGTTTATAAAAAGATTACAAAAGGCTAGATTATGAAAAACAAGGACAAGCATAAGTAATCACTAACCATATGTAGAGATACAAGAAAAAACAAGCAAAAGAAAATATTTAGGGCATTAACCTGTTGCATCCAAGATTGCAGGCCTTAGCCAGCTTCCCAGGTTAGAGAGCAAACCCTTTGTCTGACGTCTTGCCACAGTTTTCTACAGCCCCTTGGGCATGCCTACATGAGACATTTACTGTGGAGTAAACTAACTCCACAGTAAACATCGCATGTCTACACATGCGACCCTAGTAGGCTGGAGTAAACTATTTAACTCAACAACAGGGTAGTACTTGTAAACAATGTTCCCTCTCAGGAGTAGCGGTCCATGAGCGTGCCGCTTCAATCCATGAGCATGCCACTTCGGTCCCACCTCCCCCTTTCGGTGCAGCGCAGTCCACCGGTAAGTGTCCCAAAGTAAGTGTCCAGGTGGGAGCGAGCAGGTTTCAGCCAACAGACGAAGGTAAGCTCCTCACTCCTCATGTGGGGCAGGCAGCAGCTCCTCCCTGAAGTGAGGTGGGGGCAGGGACGGGGACAGGGCTTGGGGCTGGGGGCTGGTGCGGGCTCTGCTGGTTCCAGGGAACTGCTCCGTGGGCTCCGCCAGCTCCGGGGAACTGCTCCGCTCCCCTGCATTACCTTGGGGAGCAAGGAGGTACATGGCGTCAGGGCCGGGGAGTGGAGTGGTTCCCTGGAGCCAACGGAGCCCATGGAGCAGTTTCCTGGCCTGCGCCAGCCCCCATCCCTGCCTTGCCTCACCTCAGAGCCAGGAGTTCAGTGCTTCACATTAATTGTATGTATAGATGTGCCCCCTGTCAGCTTGCTTTTCTAAGCCTCCCTTGGCCAAGGGACTAAAACCCTCCTGGTGCCCAGGAAGACTGAAGACAAAGCCATGCCCTTGAGGCTGACAAGTACAATGGTTATCTGGCTATTAACATGCATTAACCCTTTGTTTCTAGGGAGGCTCACACTGTACCAGTTACTTCTTGCCCCCCTAAAAATACGTTTAGCAAATCATACATCTTTCTTGATACAGTTAAAGCCAGGAGCGTATGTGTATCTTTTCAGACATGGAAATTCGCTACTACAATATCTGTCTCTCTTATAATTTCCCCTAAGTGGGAAATATTCTCTCCGTATCTAGGTGTTGTTCTTGCAGCCCCTTCTTTAAAGTGTAAATTCATCATTGTCTGGCAGGGACTATTTAAGAGCAAACAACTTCTGTCAAATGCTAATTCTCAGCTGTTGTCACTTCTAAGTGTGAGCAGCCTAAGTTAATCACTGTCTTTATTAATACAGCCTCAACTATAATATAAAGATATATCAAAATTACATTCATATCAAATACCATAATACATACAAAATAACAGTCTCTATTTTTAGCTTCCCACTAGCTACAAATAGAGACTGAACACCACAGGATAAAATCTAATTCTGGAGAATATCCATGCATACCACATAGTGAACCCCAAAGGGCAACTTCATTTTGGGGTGAATCCATGACCATATAGTCCTAGGAAATTTACTTTAGCCAGATTAGTTTAGTCAGGATTAACTTCAGTTAGGCAAGTGGAATTAGACCAGTATAAAATCTGGGTAAAGGGAAGGAGATACTGCCTCTAATTTTGGATAAAATGGTTTGAAGCAAAAGCACTGGACGCAGAACCAGGGCACAAGTGAGAGTATTAAGGAAAATGGGAATCTTTCTATTTATGGTAATGACTTTTGCATCAAAGCCCGTTAGAGAATCTGAAAGATGCTTAGGCCTGATCCTATAAACATTTACTTAACTTTTAGATCTACACATGTGAATAGGCCAGTGCTACATAAGAAACAAGGAGCTTTAGTACCAGGTAACTTAGACCATGCACAAGTGTTCCGTTTCTACCAGGAGAATTGTCATTCTTCTAGTAGAAACTACAAGTGTACAAACTTCCATGATATTTCTCCTGGACCAAAAATGGCGGTTCCAGGAGAAAACCCAACTCCAACCTGGTAGAAGTTGCTTCTGGGAGAGTTTCTCCCCGGAGAATGAACACTTGTATACTTTCCACAACTTAACTCTTCCCAGCGACCAGGAGGAGTCAAGCTGCAAGGAAAGGCTCTTGTTTCTTCCAGAGATAAGGGTTGCCCCAATCTGTAGATACTGGGGGCAGCTGCTGTTGCCCCTCCTGTAGATTGGGAGGAGAGGAAGGGAGGAGGGACAGATACCAGTTTCTGTCTGCCAGCTCCTTGTACATGAAGGACTTTGGTGTGAGAAGCAGGCATTGGCTTTGCTGCATTGCTCCAATCCCACAGGAACAGAACTGGAGCAGCCACTGCTCCCCACACTTTCCCCAGACTGGGATCACCCCAATCTCAGGAAGGCCCAAGGAGCAAAGGAGAGGGACAGTTGCAAGCAGGATGTGCATACACAGCTTTAACTAACTCTTTGTGGACTATGATCAACTATTCAGCAGATCAGGGTTAGCAAACACCTCCTGTAAGGTGTCACAGTCTTATTTTAGCTCATCCCTTTGAAAGAGAACACCCCCAAATTCTTCTTTTTCTACAAAGAAATAATTTTTCTTTCTTTGTAGAAAAATTTCAGTGACTAAACTTTCAGCTGTTTAATAGTGTCCTTGCTATAAAGCTACATGACTTTAGTGTTCTGGCTCTGAGGATGAATATCATTATCTCTGAGTTCTTCACTCTCTAGAGCTGTCATTCTGGACCCTTCAGAGACCTTTACCTTTATTTTTGTTTCTTTTGTAATGACTATAGGAGGATTTTAACACACTGAGTTTTATTAATTTGTTCCTCAACGTTTTTACAGTAATAAATGGGATTTTCAAAGAAGCATCAGGAAATTAGACACTTCACTCAATTTCAGTGAGAACTGGCACCTAAGGGTGTGCAGAAAAGTTGCTTTTTTTCACCATTTAAAGCATTTTTTTGCTGTGAGTTAACAATCACTTAAAAAATGGGTACACCGCTTTAACCCTTGCTACAAGAGGTATTAAATTTGAAGTGCTGTATTTTACAACACTTAAATAACTTCTGTATGCTGGTCAAATTTCTATCTAGTGGAGAACCCCAGCTCTGCCTGCTAGCCTGGAAAGTACAGGGAGGTTCAGAGGCTCCCTCTCCCCACCCCACCCAACACCGCATTTCTGTCATGTTTAAGAGCACTGTAACTTTATCAAAAGTGGTCTAAATTACAGTGCTGCAAAATATGCATGGTGCAGTTCTGTACACATGCCAAGTCCCTTAGTCTTTTTTGAAAATGTAATT